TCTGCTTAAAAACAAGACTTTTTGAAAGGTGATCAATAAAAAAAAATAGGATCTCTGAAAGCCAAAAATTCAAAGTTCTTTCTACCGTTGAGTTTAGCCTTTGTTTGACAGTCTCTCAACTTGCGTTTAAGTCTTCCACTAATGGGAGTACTAGCTAACTTTCTCAAAGTAGACCCCTGACAATTTACCAGGTTATTGTCATCATCTTGATTCTCTTGCGTCCCAAAGTCAATCAAGCACATTGCCCTGCACCTCAAACGACCATTCAAAATATTAGAGAACTGTAGAAACAAAGAGCCCCAAAACTTAAGAGAGGATCTGCTGTAGTTCGTGAAGAGGTTGAGAAGGAAAGGGAAATGATGCAGTTAGGTGATGTATTGCGTGAAGAGAGAGCTCAAATGAAACTCTCAAAGGCTAAATATCAGCTTGAAGAAAAAAATGCCGCTGTTGATAAACTGAGGAGTCAACTTGAAGCTTTTATGGGAACCACACGTTAAGCTCTCCAGCGTTGAGTTCCATCCACAATGCGTTACAAAACATCCTATCGCTAGGTTTGACAATACCTCTACTTGTGAACACCACGACACTATGATACCTTGTTGCTCTAGTTCTTCTCTAGATCTGGGATGAGGAAGACCAAGAACCAGAGCGCATATGAGATGAAGAAGACGATGAACTAGAGCGCAGATGGAGGAAGAAGAAGAAGACCGCAGTTGATTTGTTTTTTGAAACACTTTCCCCAAAATTTTTTAACATAAACGTTTTTTAATTAGAGTAGGGATGCCCATCCAAAAATAAAAGACGGCCTTCCATTCCTTATGAACGAGCGTCCATTACATACGGACGGCCATCCTTACACAATGGACGGGCGTCCATTCCAGTTTTTTTAAAATTTTTATATTTTAAAAAGAGGACGAACATCCCTTATTTACGGGTGCCCGTCCAAAATTTATGAACGCCCGTCTAATATTTATGGACGACTGTCCATAACCTATGAACGACCGTCCCTAATTTTTTTTAATATTTTTTATTCCATTTATCGATGGACGGGCGTCCTTTAAATGGGGACGTCCGTCCATAGTAAATGGACCCCTGTCCATATAATATGGACGTGAGTCCATGTAAGTGAACAATCGTCCATATTTTATGGACGGTCGTTTACTAGAAAAAGTTTAATAATGTCAAATGCGTTGAATGGTCTAAGTCAGGGGACACGTAGATCTGTACAAAATTTCGGTGCAAAAACCCCGGTGTCTGTAGTATTGTTGATAGACTTATAGATATGGAGCAAGAAAGTAGTGCTTTTTGTAGTCAAATTGGTTAATATTTTATTCTATACAATTTTTGTTTTTAGCTTATGATTAATCATCGGGGTGGGACTCTTTATTTTAAAGAACGTCTTTCATATAAATAAAAAACATTTTGTTTAATTTCTAAATATAAAGAATAAAATTTTTATTCAAATACAATAGACTCTTTAAATTTAATGAAGATACTCTTTATTTTCAAGAAAGAGACTTAATAGGAGAGAGAATTAATAAATAAAATACATAAAAATTTGTAATTTTTTTAATTAAAACTAGGATAAAAAGTGAAATTTGACTCTTTAGATGTAAAGAGTCAAATTTACTCTTTAATTTTTATTTAAAGGATAAAGAGTAAGTTAGACTCTTGTTTTTATAGATAGACTCTTTATAATAAAAAATTTGAGTCATATAAAAAATTCTTTAAAGATGCTCTAAGTGGGTGATTTGCTATAAGATTAGTTCTTAAGGGGTGTAAAAGAGTTGAGTCGAGTCGAATTTTGAACTAATCGAACTCAGCTCATTTGCTACAATGTCGAGCTTAAGCTTGGTAAGCTTGAAAATTCAAGTTCATGTTCGAGTTCGAGCTCGAACTCACAAAAACTCTCCAATTCTTCATTTTTTCGCTTTTCCAATCAAGTTTTTCAAGTCGAGCTTGAGTCGAGCTGAAACCTAACCGGCTCAAACTTCACTCGGCACTATAGCCGAGCCGAGCCGAGCCGAGCCGCTTGGCTCACACCCCTAGTTCTTATTAATTGCAGCACTGTTAATTTTCAATTAGTATGTTGAAACTTAAAGCTCTGCAAGAATAATAAAACTTAACTGAGGACCAAAGGATAATGAATAAATAAATATATGGTAAAACAATGTAACGAATACAATAGAAAGATGTCCAATTTTATGAATTCGCACAGAAAAAAAATCACACTCAACAATCCTAACATATAGCAGCAACTTGATGCACTTAACAGTATAGCAAAGAAATATATTACAAACATACTCTAATTGAATAGCACCAAAATCTAAAGCATTTTCAATCCTTGAAAACATCTTCCACTACTCAAACTCCTAGTCATTCTAAAATACAATTCAAAACTATCTAATGCACACCAATTTGGGCACCCTTCTCAAGTAACTTAATTACAAGATGTTTGACTTTGACCAACAACTATGTTCCCATTTTAATGATACAATGGATCGATTTCTAGTAAAAAACTTGTACGAGAAAAATGTGAAAATCTCCAGCACATTGAAGGTAATCATGCAGTCATCGATGTCTTTTTTGCCCAAATCATATTTCAATACTATCTACAACTCACTTGCATAATGAAGCAAACCTGCAAGAGCAAAGAAATTGACCCATAGATAAATAAAGTGATTAAAGGATTTACAAACTCATCCACAGAAAAGGCAAAAGAATGATATCCTAGCATCCTGGGAATTGTGTGAATGGTAAACTATATTGACTCCCCTGACCCATGCCTTAAGAACAATCCCGCCACTTAGTTTTGGAAACTGAAAACATCACCTCGATTTTTCAAGTTCAGAAGTTTAATTTAACTAAAGAAGGATATTAGTGTCATTTTGCCTATACATATAACATTAAACATCATAAACCATTCATGCTTACTTTAAAATTAACCAATTATGGGCATAATAAGTGGAGGAAAAAGAAAAAAATAGTCATATGGATGACATTCTACCTGTTCTACCCTCCAGGACTTTTACTAACGGCTACGTTTACCAATATGTTATCAATTTCCAAGTTTCAGAGAAGATGGAATTCAAACATAACTTTATGAGGACAATAAGATGCGGTCCATGCTATTATATAAGAACTCTGAATCCAGTTTAACTCCAGCCCTTTTTCATGGAAATTTTTTTCTTCAACAGAAAATTTGTTATTGAATTTAACTTAAACAGAGAAAGACTGTTGTACTAGGGACTTTTGAATCTTGTAAAAGGGATACTGCCATAAAGACACCTGCCCTGGCTTTCTAAAAAAAAAAAAACTAAACCACAAAAAAAAAAAAAAATAATAAAATCAAATAAAAAAAAAAAAAAAAAAACAACAAAAAAAAAAATTATAAAAAAAAAAAAAAAAAAAAAAAAAAAAAAATAAAAAAATATAAAAAAAAAAATTATCAAAAAAAAAAAAAATTAAAAAATATAAAATAAAACAATATATAAAAAAAATATAAAAAAAACAATAACAAAAAAAAAAAAAATATAAAAAAAAATAAAAAAATCAAAAAAATCTATAAAAATAAAAAGAAAAAAAAAAAAAAAAAAACACCAAAAAAAAAAAATTTTATAAAAAAAAATGTATCTCTCAAAAAAATAAAAAACTAAAAAAAACCCCCAAAAAAAAAAAAAAAAATAAAAAAAATGTAAATCATGGATTTGTGCTCAATAATAGATCACAGTTATCAAGTTAATAATAATATATTATCTAATAATACAAAAGGTGATTGGATAGCCTTAACTTCAACATTAATATGTGATATCTATAGCTTTTTAGGGCATTATGCCTAACAATAATTTCCAATAGGAACTAGGAAACCCAATGAGTCCTAAGGTCCCCAGAATTTTTAAAAGCATAATCAAGGGATGAAGACACAACTATATAACACTAAAAGGTGTAACAGAAGATAAATAAGGCAATTGATGGTTTGATCTCAAAACCTAGCTACCTGATGGTGGTAAAGGCTTGTCCTTCACCATTCCAACTCAATCTCTCATTATTTCTCTAGGATTTGAAGAGTTGAAGTTGTTAGACACCAGATGACTCAAGGTGCAGAGCATTGGGTCCAAGTTCTAGGTAGATGGAACTCGATTTATGAATCTAAAGATACAGTTGTAAACATTTATAAGCTCTCCAATGCTTCAAAAGCATACCAATTTAACATGTGTATCAAATAATATCGTTAAATATCAAGCAATGAAACAAAGAACTGATGCAAATTCTTTAAAAAAAAATAAAAAATTATGATTTACATAACCGTTAGTAAGAAAATCCTTTATGCATGATTTATGATATAAACAATTGTTGGAATAATCAAATTCTATGTATTACTTCTTTCATGTTAGAACATTGATGTGAGCAATGTCTCTTCAATTTTATTGTCTTCCACTAGGATCAAATTATTGTTTCCCATCATACAAAGATGGATCATGTAGGAAAGGCCTAATTCATATCAATGAGTAATCAACCAAGCAAACAATAACAATTGCCACATGACCCTAGCTGAAAATCAGAGTATATAAAATGATCCATGGGAACAGAAGAATATCCAAATGGAACACAATTATGACCGAGTCTCAAAGAAATTACTATTCTGTATGTTACCTCCATCTTCAACCCATTATACAACATTTCAAAAATAAACATTACAGCTTAAAACAACTAAGCAAATAATCAGAAACAGAACAAGAACCGACCAAAAACAAAGACAAATAACATATCAAATCATACAGAAACCAAGTTCATTCAACAAAGTCATAGAAAACAGAATGTTTCTCAATTTAACACCAATTCAGTAAAACAACACATACACAGTATAAGCAACTAAACATACATGTGCACTGAATCCAAAAGAGGCGGATTAATACAAGTACCAATCTGTATGAACAGAATTAAATCCCACATGCAAGATTAAGCATAACTAAGAATAAGATTTCACCTGCACAGTTGAATCACTTAGAAACCAAAAGAATTTCAGGTTTCTTCACCTTGCCGGGTGTATTGACATTGGAAGATGAATTAGCCTCGGTGGTGGCGGCAGCAGAGGCCTTTGCAGCAGCAGCAGCTCGCTCTCTATTATCAAGCTGAATCAAACTCCTGGTCCCTATAATCGCCTGAGGGACCAAATCATGAGAAGCCCTAGCATACAATCGCCGAACAGCAAGGGAAGCCGAGTCCTTAACATCTTGAGAATTCATTGGCCCCAACAAACAATGCCCCAGTATCCTCAAAACAGGCTGCAAAAATTCCCAAGGTAAAGGAATCCTCACTCCCTTCAATTCAACATTTCCATTTGCACCCCCATTTTCTTCAATTCCCAGTTTCTCCAAACCGTCAACAACTAAATCATCAATATTATGGCCATGGCCGTTCACATTTTCACCCTCAAAATCCAACCTATTTTGACAATCACAATCTTGCCCAGCCCACACCGCCGCGAATTTACAAAATTCAAGCTTGGACCAACTCGGCATCTGCGAGATCTGCTTATAATAACAATCAAAAGCGGTTCCAAGAATACAAGCACGCTTCGTTGACTTCACAGCAATCTGCGGCTCCAAAGGGGCCGATAAAACTCCAACGGACGGCCTAGATTTTTTCTCCTTAGCTGACTTAGTGGGCTTGTTTCGAGGAGTGTGGTAGAGTGAGGGTTGAGATAAGTCCGGGATTTGAACGAGCAAGGCTTTCCCCCCACGTGACTTGGCTTCAGAGCTATAAATCGCGAGAATTACGGCTTCGAATCCGGAGAGTGAAGGAATTGAAGAGGTTTCGTGGGAATGGAGACGAGAGAGATAAATAGCGGAGAGGAGAGGGACGAAAGAGAGGACGATGAGACGGAGATGGGAATCGGACGAAAGATACGTGTCGTAAAGCCATTGGCAGAGGGGATCTGAGCCGGAACCGGAGAAAGGAGCCGAAAGGGCGGAAGAGATGAGGGAGAAGGCCTCGGGGGAAGAGAGAAGAGAGAGAGCGGGACGGTCGGAGTCGGCGAGGGAGGAGAGAGAGAAAGAAGAGGAGGAAGAGGAAGAAAGGGAAGAGAAAATGTTGGATAGAGATAGGATTCGAGAGCGGGCCTTGGAGACAGACTCCCACCAAGAGTGCATAGGGTCGTGATCGGAGGCAGTGGTGGTGGCGGTGGCAGTGGTGGTGGGGTGGGGATTGGAGGAAGAGGTGGAGGAGGAGGAAGGGGAGTTGGTAGAGTGGTGGTTGTGGTGGTAGTTGACGGTGAAATCCATCGTGGTTGGAGTGAGATTTGGGTGGTGTTCACTAGGGCCGTTGATACTTAAGACCACCGGCTAATTCAACAGCTTGCACAGTTTTCTTATTCTCTATTATAAGTTATTAATGAATTAATAACAAAAGAGTAACGTCCCACGTCCCAAAATCACTTGAATTATCCCTTTTTAAAAGCCGAATTAAAACTTAACTCCTTTTTTAAATTGATTATGGACAAAATTACCCTTGTTCTAGTTATCACACATACGCAAATTAGAGAAAATCAAAACGCAACATCATTTTGCCTCCAATTGAAATTCAAAATTTCTTCAGTTTGGATTGGACTGAGTTCTCAATGGAGTTTGCTTAGGTATTACTTGGGTTTGTTGATCTTTTGATTCTGGGATTGGAAGAAGAAAGATTGGGTTTTGGGTTCAAAATTCCTCCAGTTTACATTGTAAATGTAACTGATTCGGTTCTTTTTTTTTTTTTTTTTCCTTTTATGACGGGAGGTGTTCAGGCTAGTTTGTACAAACTTAACTAATTCTCTAAGACCTTAGAACTAGCGGTTGGATAAGAGTTTCAATAGTTGTCCTTATTAGCAATCATGTGGACTCAAATTTGAGAAATTGTGTTAGATCCTCCTCTTATATTCTGTTATGCCTAAAAATCAAAACTGACGTTAGTCTAGGTCAGTAGGCACCAATCGAAGTTAAGGAAGGTTTTGTACCGCTTGGGAGCTACCACGTCGCTCCATGACAGAAAGAATATGGCTATCACGAATTTGGCAGATTCAGGTTTTATTTATAAGTGATTGAGGGCCGCACACCTATTCAAGCCCCAGGTAATTTAAGGATAATTCCTAAGTTATCAACCAATGGGAGGCAAGGAAGGACTTGCACGACACCTACCCACTTGCAGATTTGTAATCATCACATTGAATTGCTCTACTATAAATAGAGGACTCCCCCTCTCATTTTCAAGATTTTGATCATGAACCCTCATTCTGATTGTAATCTTTATTTTCAGAGCAAAGATAACCCATGAGAAAGAGACTAACTTGCTATTTTCTCTGAATACTCAGTTATTGTACCTTTGCTCACTGTTCGCTATACGCGACCTCTTGTAATCTCTCATATATAAAAGAAACAGTGGATGTAGGATTCGTTTTAAGCATCTGAACTACTTTAAAAATCATATATCTCATTTATTATTCAGTCTTTGTATCTGATCATAATCATTCACGTGTAATTTCTAATAACAGCTTAGCACTTTGCACGTGCGAGTCGTTGGTGTCAAAATCAAGCATCAATAGTTTGGCGCTAGAAGGAATGCGTGATTTAGTATCTGCTCTTTATCAAGAATCTCTAATCAATAGTTTGGCCATTCTCTATGTGGGGAATTGATTTCATCGGATCCATGTCAACCGGTAAAGGGGCGTCAAATATATAGTGGTCGTAGTGGATTATTTCACTAAGTGGGTCGAAGTGGAGCCTTTGGCTGCGATCACTACAAAGAAGCTTAAAAACTTCGTCTTCAAAAATATAGTGTGCCACTATGGGATTCCTCATACACTCATCTTTGATAACGAGAAGTAGTTCGATAATGAGGAATTCAAGTAGTTTTACGAAGAGTTGGGGATTTATAAGAAATTTGCCTTAGTAGCAAGACCACAAGCTAATGGTCAAGTTGAAGCTGTCAACAAGACTATTAAGCACACATTGAAGGCTAAGCTTGACATAGCCAATGGCAATTAGGCCGATGATCTTCTAGAAGTTCTATGGGCATATAGAACGACTCCAAAAACCTTTACATCAGAAACACCTTTTTTGCTATCTTTCTCCCTAGCATATGGCTGTGAGGCAACGGTTCCAATGGAAGTAGGAGCTGGTTCACTTCGAAGGGAATTCTACAATAAAACAGACAATGAAGCACTCTTACGTGCAAGTCTGGATTTAGTTAAAGAACATTGCGACAATGCTCCGGGTCGATTACTTAATCTTTAGGGACATTCGTTTCTTGCTGATCGTTCTTCGGGGCAAGCTCTTGTTCATCTTACTCTTCGGCCTCGACCATGGAAGCAAGATTAACTTGATAGTCCTCAGGAAGGTCGAAGATATCCATGTTCGGATTATTTGGCCATAAGTTGTAAATAGCTTGCAGCGCCCAATGAGCAGCCTTCCTCTCTAGTTCGAGGTTTTGTTGCTTCATATGCTCGGTCAGCAAAATGATTCGGCCTTGAGCCAGCTTAAGATTCGTTTGCAGTGCCCTCTTCTCCTTCCCTGAGTTTTCCCATAACTCAGCTCAAGTCTTTTTTGCTGCTTTTTCGCGTTCTAAGCTCGCTTGCAGCTCATTTTCTCTTTGGCCCACCTCTTTGGTGAGCCTCACCAATGTTTGTTGGAGCTCCTTATTGTTGCTATCTTTCTTCTTGAGCTTGAGCTTGACCTTTTGAAAATTAGCTGCTCGCATAGCAGAATTCCTTTCAATCAAGTACACATTTGCCTGAATATGACAGCCTTTGCCTCTGCATCTGAAGTTATAAGATCTTGTTTCAGTTTGGCAATCTCTTCCTTCATATCGTGAAGTTTGCTAGCAGAATCAATCTTCATCTTTTATTGGGCCACATTTAGGGCGAGCAAAGACTGCTTGGAAAAGGAATAAAAAGTTAGTTTTTTCTTGAAAAACTAAAGGGTCAACTTGTATGAAAGAAGTTCTCGAAGAGAACAAGTCATTTTACCTGACTTTGCTTTTGAAGTGCGATGGCCACCAGGTCGGTAGGTCAAGAAGCCACGAACCTATCAAAGGTCTTGGCAAGTTGACATTCTAAAAGGGTCTATACCACCGACAGTAAATGATTCGAAGTTTCCCTAAAAGATCCAACACGGTTGGGTCAAGCCTCGTTACGGCAGGGACCTCTTCTACCTGTTGCTCGCCTACTTCCCCTTGAGCAGCCGTGGTTGCTCCCAACCCTTTGCGAACTCCCAAGGGCAGTCAAAGTCCCGGGATCATCCTTCGAGGTCGTCCTAGCAGAGAAGGCTTGATAAGGCTGAAGTCTATCTAGCAATACCTCGAAGCCTTCTGATTCAGATTCAGTTTCCTTTTCGATGGGTATTGTGTTTATCTTCTTAGACTTTGGCTCGTGGTCTTCTTCTTCGACAGACGAGCAGTGGCGAGCTAGGGAGCTTCTCGCATTGCTCAGCGAGTTGTTGTCTTTCAACACCAATTTGTATCCCTCTCGCAGGGATATCGCTGGAGGTCGCTCCAGCTGGTTTAATTGGGTTAATCCAGGGGACTGCGAACCCCTCAAACTTCTTTGACTTCTTCGACGTCTTCGAAACTTCGGTGGCATAGTTGTTGCATGGCATGAAGATGCGTCAGCAAAGAATGTCTTCTTTTGTTTTTGAAAAAATTAAAAAAAAAAACCTTAGAATTTTTTCTGTACAAAGAAATGCTTATGAGATGGACCTTCCAAAGATGCGTTAGGAGTGAAAAACCCGTACTTCTGAAGGTTGGTGGTAGTCACGAGCAGCCTTGCATTGCGACTCTAATCAGGCAATCGACTAAACACTTCGATGCGGCTGAGATCAATAATCTGGTCATCTTTTTTTTTTCTGTAGGAAAGCAACAAAATTCGTTAGCCTAATTTACTAAGAAAGAATCAAAGTTAAAAGATGAGCATTTGGAAATTGGAAGGAAAACCTACTTGGTTCCTTAAATTTATAGACTTTATCGTACTCGAAGAAAAAATACTTGGTTTCGTAAGCCCCAACGTTGTTGGGGTAACCAAATATCCCTCACTTGATCGTTGATCGCTGGGAGAGGTAGTACGAATCCTTATCTTTACTTTTCTTTAAATAGTAGACGCAACCGAGCTCTTATGCTATTAGCTCGCCGAGGTTGTGCTCGCCGAATGCGAATACATAGCGATTGATATCATATATGCATTTGGCGTCAGCTGGAATGGTGCAATCTGGAAGTGGTCGAGGATCGACCTGATGTAAGGGTGGAGGGGTATCCTCACTCCACATTTGAAAATCGCTTCCAAGATCGCGACCATTCCCTTGGGAGGATCCTAAGCAGTGTGCAACTTGTGTTGGAAGACATTTACATTGATTGCATATTGGTTTATCACTTTTTGTATTTTGTCCTTCGTAACTGTTGTTCATATCACTTTTTCGGGACCTACGGAGGTGCCCATAGGTTGCGAGCTTCCTTCTTCGGCTATTCTCAGCTCAGAGGTGTCCATTGCTCTTGAAGTCTGTAAATGTGCAACATATAAAAGTAACTCAGTCTCCGTATACATTACCTCGTATGGCGACTCAAAAGAGTAAGAGAACCTTGGTTTCTCTTCCATAGTAGCCAAAACCCTAAAAACCCCAAAAATTCTTAAGGATGATTTTCTAAAGATCTGTGTCCTAAGTTTTGATTCTTAATATTGTTTCTTTTCAAACATTACTCAAAAATGTTCATCGTCTAAGCCTATCAAACGTTCATACCCATCATTACTGTAAAGACTAAGTTTTTGATAGAAATGAAAAAGAGAATAAGCGAATAAATTTTCTTTACCTCTTGATTGTTGGGAATGGCTGCTTTGTCGTAGCGTCGAGTGCGCATCAACTGGGAAAGGGATGAACTGATCTTTTGAGTGCAAAAAAGTCATTTTTCTCTCTGAAAGTTTGAGTTCTATGAAAAAACTTAGAATGGGGTTTGCATTTTATAGGGTGGAAGACGACACTTGGTTTCTTTTATAAGCGATGTTTGGGCGGGAACGCGTTTCTAGCCATTGATTTTGAACACCTGTCATTAATCCGCGCAAAGAGTAACCTTCATGCTTCGTGGAGATCAACCGGCGTCTTTCTTTATTGAAATCGTCAAATGCCGACATGATTATCTCCTCCACATTAAATGTGCCCTCATCCGCGTTTAATGTTTCAAAAGGGAATGTCGTTTTAGCATGGCTTGCATTTAATGCTCATGGCTGACACTTATTATGCAGAGACACGTCTATCAGATAAAGCTT